GATCTCCCGTTGTTGATTAGGAAATAGTAAAAGCACAATAGAACAGCACATTAATATGCACTTTTCGGAAATGAGCATTTATATTTGGAATTTACATCGTTGTACTTGTATTTCTTGGACGAAAGATTTTCCTTTAGATATCTTTGAAAACACTTTTACAATGTAACTTCGTATGTGAAAACTTACTCAATTTTTTTTTTATTTCCTTTATTTAAACTTAGTATGAATTATAATCAGTTAACATAGAGTTGTAGAAGGTGTATAATTACAAATTCGATTTTGTTAACTAGAAATTTGATAAATCACATTCAAATTATGGTAGATACATTGGCTACAGTTTTCCATCATCTACGTTCATATAGGTTGGTGTCCAATCATGTACTCGAAACATGAAGATCTTCCAGGCTGTGCTCGCCTTTACGTTTTTGATATCTGTTTGTTTTGCTTGCTTTGCAGCTATAATCACAGCCTGGATTTCCGCCATGTTACCAGCCCCTCTAACTGCTTCTAACATATTTCTATAGTCGTTAAAATTTTCTTTTAATATATATTTACAATTATCAAATTAAAAAGAAATTATTTATAGATACGGTACTAGAGAATTTTCTTCAAAATTCATTACATAAACAAATCAACAATTTATTTCGTATCTGCGTCACGAATAAAAAATGCTGCTGTTACTAGACATTTAAATTTCTTTAGATGTTTACAATGGCTAGGTGCAAATGGACAATTTTCCAGTATCCCAAAATATTGAGCTGATAATTATTTTCATACTAATCCGAGAATGGAATATTTTCAATACAATATATATGTACCTTAAAGTAGATTAGGTTAGTTAGGTTAATAGCAGTAAACATTGAAATAGTAATACGTGAGCTCATTAGCTCATATTTTTGTCGAAGTATTTAATTAGGTGTATGAATAAGAAAAAAGAAAAACAGACACAAAAAGTAATAGAAAACCCGATAATACAGTTTAAATATGCAGATGGAACGTTTTTAATGTATATTCATAAGGTAGATGTTGCAAATTGCCTTGGTAATCGCAAATTGTAGAGCGTAGATACAGTCCTGTGGAGGAGTGGTCTCTGTTGGAAGCTGACAGCAGAGCGTATGGGACGCGCGAAAGCGTTAACCCCACTATGTGGTCACTTTCTATTCTAGTGCACGTGTAAGCGTGCCTCTTGCTGAGGGTAAACGGAGAACGGCCACGCACACGTTGTGAAGACCACCAAGGGTCATTTTCGTCGTGGGAGCAACCCTACTTTCGACGCGCTCATCCGCGTCTAAATATCGATTGGACGCGCAATCATACTTGGAAATATTAAACAAATCTATAGAAGAATCGGGAGTATTATTGTTTATCATATCAATATTATGTTATTACACAGATTTTATTATTAAGCATTTAGTATTAAAATTGAAGCTTTCCAAGAGCTGAAGTATAATACTTATTGGACAAATGATACAAAGATGGAAAACTTCTTCGAATAGTGCTGGCTAGTGAAGATATTACGAACAACATTTGTAAAACCAGATCTTGAATAATATTTGCAGTCAGAAATTAAAATTTGCAAAAGTATAGCTAGAACAGATTTCCCTTGTAATTTATAAATTTATATTTTAAATCATTCGAAATAATGTATTTCTATATTATTTAATGTTTACTATCTGTCGCATACCTAGTATTGTACTTTAATGTGTTATTAGTGCTACAGTACACATAAACAGGGTGAACTGCGTAATGTGACCATCGCCGATACTCTCATTGTTAATGGACTGATTGAAGCTATTTTTTTATCACGAATAATTGTATCGGTGATTATGAAAGTGAGTGACCTAAATCATATATTTTTTGTTTCGAAATATTTAGAATTTTCCCTTTGGGTCTACTAAAAAATATTTTTTCATTATGCAATCACATATTTCACAAAATACTTAGTCTTATAATACAGATGTTTGGAATGAAGAGATTGACACAATACAGAATAAATGATAAATTCAATTGTTTTAGATTTTTGATATAGACCACTTTCATAATCACCAGCATAAGTAATTGTCGTTTAGCGAGCATCGAATCAAATTCAACTAGCTTGGAAAAAATGCTTCTTTTATCTAAAGGAATGATATGGCGAAAAAAATGTTTAGCGCTTGTTATTTAAGCAATTATGAACAATCAGACAAACGACATTTTTAACAAAATTTGTGCAAAATCGTTTCCTTCTTTCTTCTATACATTATTTCACCGTATTATTTCTCAAGAAAACAATATTTTTTTTTTTTATTAAGTTCACTCAATTTGTCTCCATACTCACTAACTGATGGACAAAAGACTGTCACGTATGTAAAGAAGTGTATTATTATAAAAAGGAAGAATCTAGAAACTTACAAAGAATGTATAAGAGATCTAATGTTATCACTTTAGACGCCCTTCTGAACATTTGATGAACAAGATTTTAATTGGTTCGCTAAAAACGGTAATAATAAAGGTGGCCACAAGATGTAATTCACTCTGTATGTCAATGTTATATATAAAGTGTTTTGTAATTAACACCTTGCTCAAATACTTGCGTCTACTATCGGCACTTTTTGTGGACTTGCTACATTGCACAGACTAAACAGTATTCTTCAAGGCAAAAAGTCGAACATACGTTAAAAATAAATGCAATGTGAGAGTCTATAACTATCTTTGATTTTTAAGTTTACATTTCGTTACAAAATAGCGGTCATTTGCGATTTTTAGTTTAATATTATTTTTCATTTAGTTATTGAAAAAGCTAAGATCAAATTGGTGTGTCTTTTGAAAAATAATGTTGTCAAGAGTTGTACAATGTTTACAAGAGTATCCTGGTCGAATTTAAAACTTGGTCGATTAGTTCTGGGGATATGATGTCCACCGACTTACACTGCAAACACGCGCCTGTTAAAGAAACGGATGTTACAGCGGATGTATTTTTGATTATCTTTACTAACACCGCCATACGGAACATTTAATTTGCTACAAAAATTTGACAGAATAACACGGAGCACGTAGAATCCTTAGTCATAACTCATGCAGTATTGAAAACATAGAAATTGCAGTAACTCGATAAAGTTGTGGGTTCGGTATTTTCGGCAAAATGCAAGCGTTGAAATCGCTGGTGTCAAGATTAACCCTTGTGTAGGCAACCGGGTACCCATTTCTATATTTTCCTTCAACAATTTTTTATGTTCTTGTGAAATCTTGATTCTTGTAAAATCGCTCCAGGTCCCCACTTTTTGGATATTTTTACGACGATATACATTTTCAAAATAGAAATTTATGCAAAAAACATTAAAGCTTGAAACAACCGTGAACATTTTGATTGCCCACACAAGGGTTGATATTCGAATTTTTTCCCCGTTTAGTAGTCGCAAAGATATCCCCACCGATTCTCTCTATTTCACTCACACTCGACGTTTCTCAATCTCGTCTCCGATGCACTCAAGAAGCGAGCAATCGGAGGGGAGATAACAACCGGCAATTCTCAGAACACCTACCTCCCCGCATATTGGTCGTGACGCGGACCCGAGCCTGCGACTATTAAGCGAGGATTACCGTATATCCTATAAAATGGAACGTTCCTCAGTTTCGGATATGAAGATTTCGATATCCATTGCATGTACAATACGGAAATATATTTCGCGGATATTAACTACGGTAAAACGAATGTTAAATTTGCCAGTGGCTGGGTTAATAGAAGCACAAGACTCAACAGCGACCATGCCGTTGTTCAACGTATGTTCCAGCATGTGTCGCCCGTCGAGAGCGTTAGATGGACGTTGATGGACAACGAGCGATCGACGTGTGACCAATCACATTTATTTCAATCTTATGCAATAACGAGTGGTACAGCGTTCGTTACAACGTTCGTTGTTCTAACGGACTCGTAACCTTAGAGAATCCAGTTTTGAAAAAAGCATGTTTGAAACCAGGGCTACAGTTAACGTAAAGCGCATTAGGCGCAAGCTGGGGTCACATTTTAAAACCTTGTGTTATTTTTAGTTTATTAAAACGAGTTATTACGGAAATGGCGATTTTTATTATCAATAAACTTAAAAAGAAGTATGTATAAATTTGATTAACCGAAGTAGACTTGTTCTTTTGAGGCCTCGTAACGATGCTGCACCCAGGACCTCCAAAAATATAAACGCGGTGCTGTTTAAAACTAACGGATAGGTACGCTTCACTAATTTTTAGAAGTTTTTAGAAAATATTTTGAACACTTCATACTTATCGAATATGTCGAAATTAGACGATCAATTCTTTCGACTTTTTTAGTTGCCCGAATGAAATCACAAATGTATGTGCGTAACAGTTGTCATGAAAGTGTCAAGTTGGAAAATAATGCAAAATATTTATTCTATTTTAAAGTTATTAAAAGATATTTTTTCTATTTTAAAGTATTTGATTTAAGCTAAAGACCTATTGATTATTATGGCTGTAAAATAAACAAAGAACATAAGGAAAATTGTGTTTCTGAGATGAATTTTAAACACGCATAGATTATTAAGGAAGTAATATATTTATTTGATAACCAAACGTTAACGGAGCTAATGATTTAGAATGAACGCTATGATTCATTAATATGCATTAAAAATGTAGCATATCCATTACATTTCGTTAAGAGATTTGTAATTCGGATAATTGTAGCGTTACCTTCACATATCTAATTACATAAAGATTTAGATACAGCATATTAGGTGAAAATAATACTGTAAACGTATACCAGGTCTTTTCCATAGAACATCCTTGAATCTCATGGTAACTATATTCTGTGCAATGTCAAAAGAAACTTCACAAATTTCACACTTTCTTATTAATTAGAATATTTCAAGGCGACAAGTCAAAGGGGCTCGTAAATCCAATGTGTTGTAATTAAAGTCGAAGGTAAAGAGTAGCAGAAGATGAACGATACGAAGCATCTGAAGGACACGGGAAACGCTTATTCATGAGGGAAAATGTTCGTTTGTTTGCAGCTTGAACAAGATGCACGCAATGGAAGGTGCGGCTGGAAATGGGAAGAAGGTGGATTCAGCCGAGAAGACGAGGGAAGACGAGTCATCGAGGGCTTCACCTAAGGTTCCTCAAAATCAGCAGAACGGAGCTGCTCTTCCGGAGGAAACCGCCGCCGCTCCAGCATCCACTGTCGAATGTCTACGGTCTGCCTCTATAAAGAAGGAGCCTCTCTGTGATTCGGAACCGGAAGTGACAGGGAAGAGCCTGTCCTCCGGGGAGACGGCGCAACAGAAGCCGGTATCGTCGCGTTGCTCAAAGTCAGAAACTGTGGGTGGTAGGAAGCGAAAGTCTACGGACGGACAGTTATCCTCGAATGGGAATTCCACCCCGAAAAAGTTCTGTTTAGAGCAGAGGGAACAATATATCTCATCCCTCGTCGGCTGTGAAAAAGTTACGGCGGAGGAACTTGCTGCGAGGGCTGATCAACTTCGAGCGGAAGTTCAGGTAAACATTATTCTTCAGTACATTAAGAAAATAAACTTATTAATTCTCTGCTGTGGGAAACTGACATTCAATGGAAATTTTCCTTTCTTTTTGCTTCCCTTTATTTTTAACGTAGATAGACATAAAAACGTGTATATGCTTTTACTGAAATTTAATTCAATGGAAATATGAAAATATAATTATTAGATATCGAAAGTGAGTTTTAAAGAAATTCGTTTAATATAGACCAATTGAGAGAAAATAGGAATTTAATTTACAAGGAATATCGCCAAGTTGTCAGAGAGAACTCCCCAAGTTCACCCATTATTCATTAACGAAACTTCATCGGTATGTAGAATTTGTCCATTGACCACTTCTTGGAAACGGACGGCTAATTGTTAACGAGATATTGTCAGTTAAATTTAATTATATTTTGAATATTGAAGTGTAAAACACTCATACACGTACATGACATTTATATCACCATTAAACGTTTTTGTCTTGCTGATATAATTATACAATTTTTTTCATATCTTTTATATTAGCAGTTTCGATTATACTTTTTTTTTAATATGTCTATTTTATTTTATTTGTAACAATATTTTGCATTACACTTTGTACATAGTAATTTTATTTACTGTAAGTATAAAATATTTGCATTAGCCGTAAGAATTTTTTTCATTAGAATACATATGGTTATAAAATATTATTAACTAATTCTTCAGTGGTCACAGCGGTACAAAAATCTTGTATACGAGGGTTGAGAACTACGAACTTCTACCTGAGTCGACATGCAAAGCGCAATTTAATAGCTGCTTGTGAGGTTAACTTCTGAAATTTTATAATTTTCGACTAGCACGAAAGAATCTTTTGCAGTAACGAGAAATTATTTAAAAAGACCAAACTCTCCTGAGAAAAATAAAGAAAAAATCATCTCTGTATGATTGCTAGTTCTACAAATAAGGTAAGCTAGATAACTGTAAATTTATTAACCCTAGAACTCCGTGGGAGGGGTGTTCCCCGAACCCACAAGTCGAAAGATATTAAATTACAACCATTCCTTTCTGTAAAAAATTTTCAAACAATTATTTATCGTTGTATACACAATTAAAATTTGATATTCAAAAGTAACTGTTGCTGTATATATGAAAAGTATTATACATAAGAAAAAGAAAACGAACTACGCGACGCCATATTGGCACTTACGCGAATTCGACCCTTAGGCTCTTCCTATCTCCCAAAGAATAAAAAGAAGAATCAAACTAACTAATCGGAAAGGAACGGTGCAGCATTGAACCAGTTAGTATCAAGCATTTGATGAATACGGTTCCTTCAGAATCACGTTCAGAACAGTTTCACGTTAGTACACTATTGTACAATATTACCTCTATAATAAATTCTGAAATAAATTCAACGCAAAAATGTTGTAAAAATTTCTTCAGGATAAATGTGTAAGTATGGGTTCGAGGACCTCTCCCGCCCCCGATTTCGCGTGGCGGCTCGAGGCTCAGGAGTTCTAGGGTTAATTAAACTTTGCTAACAGTGATACGAAGTGTTATACCGAAACTAGGGAAAAATGAACTTTATCAAAAAGTTTTTACGAAAGGAACAATTCTGTTACATCAAAAATATTTACAAAAATGAGCCTTTATAAATATAAATGTGCTATCTGTGATTTTACAGAATTTTTCATATATTAGATGTACCAATGAACTTTCTTTGTCCAATTCAGTATTTATTTTTTCTTTCTTTCTGGTTTTTGATTTATTTCTTATTGTCCTACAAGTTTTTTTTATGTGTTTCTGCTGGATTTTCGTTCAGTAACGTCTGCAATTCTCCGTTATTACAATGTCAAAGACCACTCGAACGTTCACGATTTTAGCAATCGAATCATTTAAACCAACATTTGCATACATCATATGATACATTGTTCTTACCAACAAAAGAACATAATCTGCATGCCTCCGCCGCAGGTTTTCCCTGTTGATATTCGTATTGAATGTAGTATCTTATATATTGTTTATTAGTGCCTGTAGTATCAATTGATTTTTGAGGTTAGAATCGATCAACTTGTATTCTGAATGAAGCTACAAGGTGTCGTTAACAAACGGACAGCAGTATATTGTGAATTTAAACTACATTTCTCTCTTATTTAAAAAGTAGTGGATTACATATTGATACATCATATCATTGCTAAAAAAAAGTTGAGTAACTTATATAGCACTGAACATTTCTTTCTATATCCATTTGTTTTCGGATTGTTTGAATTAATAATTTCTATACCTTAACTGCAGAGAGTAATTTTACCGCGAAATACAAATGTCCGCTCTATATCTAGGAACAAGGAACAGTATAGAAGCCGTTCAAATTTTTCCTGGGCTCTTAAAAATATTTTCAAATTCGTTTGCTATACAGGGTATTCGCTCCAACGGCCCATACGATGTTTTAACAAAAATTTGTGTGTCGAGTGGGCAATATAGAAGGACAACAAGCACTTCGAAAATACTTTCTTTTCATAGTGAAACTAAGATGACCTTGAGCTCTTTAAATGGCACCATATAATTTTTTCCCATCGTATTATAGGTGACATTATGGCGAATTCAACCAGTGCAAAATATAACACTTTTATTCACACAATAATAGATTTGCAATAGTGAAAGTTGTAGTTGTTTCGTTTTCAGCTTGGTCTACTTCTACCTACTAGATCATTTATCTACTGGAACTGTCCAGATAAAAGTAGACACAATTGTAAATCTATTGTTGTGCGAATAAAAGTGTCACATTTTGTATTGGTTGAATTCGTGTTAACAGATTGCCAACCAATGTGATAGGTCTAACATTTACCACAGTATTAATTACACCGAACGATATTTCATTCTCGTATGCTATTTTAAACAATTTTGTTCCATAATATTGTTGATCTAACGAACCGTCGTTCAATTCTACATTATCAGTCTTCCAAACGCAGGATTCTTTATCTGTCTTTCTAGATTTCGTTTTAGCAATCTTAGACATCTGTTCAATACTAATTCATTTGCTTGGTTAATATGCCCTAAAATATGATGGAAACAAATTACACGATTTCGTTTAAAACACTCAAGCTGACCTTGGCTTCACCATGAAAAAAATGATTTTCGACATGTTTGTTATCGTACTATGTTGTCCATTTAATACAGATCAATTTTTATGTTACATTGTATAAAACGGACCATTAGAATGAACACCCTGTAGGGTGAGAAACAACATCTAAATATTTTTGTTAGGATTGAAGATAGGAGAAAATGCCAAAGGGGAAAGTTGTACTGTTCAAAGTGGAAAATATGGTAATGCAAATAGATCTTTTGTTTGATGTTATCTTCAAGGATATTTAAAGATCATCGATGTTTTCTAAAATGGCGCAAAATATTTTTAACTTCGTAGCATTATAGCCGATGTCAAGATGACTTAAATTTAATACATAGAATTCAGGACTCAGACATTTATGATTCAGCAATGACAAATCTAAAGTGTGCAATTATTTTACTCGAATGAAATTAAATGTTTAAAATGGCAGCCTCAGCGGTAATACAAGCATTTAAGGGGTTAGGACACAGTAACAAGTGGGTAAAATATAAGATTTTTAAACGACAGTACAGCAAAAAGTGAATAATCGATTAATATCAAATTTTGTATTTCAATTTACTATACTAGGAACTATAAAAAAATTATTGTAATATTTACAAAATAATTTGTTCTTATGCCTTTCGTCGTCTTCGCTCGGAATATCTTCTTCTAGATGGCCAACTGGTGTACAGGATTTCTACAAATCGAATTAACTATATCCAGAGTCACAAAAATGTCATAAACTGTGATATATTCTGTGACAATTTTTGTGAAATTTAACAAAATGGCAGATATTTTAAATTTAACGATTGAATTTCGGTAAAAAATTTCTTACTTTTTCATTTATATTTCACAAAATAATGGGAAAGTGTAAAAAAATCGATCGTCAATGCCTAATAGATATTATAGTAAAGATAACTGTAAAATTTTAACGTAATTGCTAGGGTAGAACTCGAGATATCTTGTACACCGTTTTGAAAAACGCAATTTCGAGAAAAACGCATCGGTGCGTCACGGTACGCAGGTACACGAATTCACTCTCGAAACGGTACTTAGAGAAATAATTTGTATCGAAGCCTGGAATCCATGTAAAACCTTTTGCATTCTGTTCTCAAGACTTGAAACTACTATTTAAGACAAAAAAAAAATTTCGATTTTTTCAAAATATCACTGTGTCCTAACTCGTTAAACGTTCTGCAAGACTTTAAAGTACTCTTTCAATAAAGTTTCGATAAAATTAACGTACAAGACCCAATTATTCTTTCTTGCATCTGTTCTCTGAGGTGGTTCATCGCGGTAAACATCGTTTTTCAGCTTTCTCCACAGAAAGAAATCGAGTGGACTAAGGTCGGATGAACGAACTGGCCAACATGTCCGTTACGTCTGATCAAACGATTTGAAAATTTATCATTTAGAAATTCTCTTGCAGCGTGAGAAGAATGTGTCGGGTCCATCGTGTTGGTATCTCATCACTCGACGAATATCTAAAGGCACATCTTCCAAAAGAACTTGGAACTTCTTACTAAGAATTCCTAGATTTCTGAGTCCAAAGTTATTTTACGGTCATAGTATCCTACGCCGCTGAACTCGCCTTGAAATCAGCTACCACACTATGAAGTTAAAAATACATGGTGCCATTTACAAAAACACCGCTGACCTTTAAATAACCTTGAAGATAGCGTCAAACAGAAGATCTGCTTGTATCACCATATTTGCCCTCTTGAAGAGTCCAACTTTCCTCTTTAACATATTTCTCCTACCTTCAATCCTAACAGAGTTATTTAGGCATTCTGTATATTGCGAGTTGCCTTGTGTAGAGTATCAGAAAAATTGGCGTATGTCTGTTGCATAATGTTCCTCGTTAGTCACAAAGAATTAATCATAAGTATTAGGTTGTCCGGAACTAAATTGCGGTTTCTGTACATGAGATTTAAAGACGCGTAATTTTGCTTAGAATGAATTTATTTAATCGAAATAATTTCCATTAGGTTCTATACACTTTTTCCAACGTTTTACAAGAGTTTCTATTCCATTACAATAAAAATCAGGAGTTCTGGAATTAATAAATTTCACGAAGGTATTTACAGCATCCTCTTTATTGCGGAAGATTTTTTCTCGCAAAAAGTTATTGAAATGTTTAAAAAAATGGTAATCTGTAGGGGACAAGTCGGGGGAATAAGGAGGGTGTTTTAATGTTTCATAACCCAATTCGTGTATCTTCCGAATCGTGAATTGTGATACGTGCGGACGGGCGTTATCGTGTAGGAGTATTGGCCCCTTACGATTTACCAAAATTGGTTGTTTAACAAATAACATTTTATGCATTATAATCATTAGTTGTGCTTTCGCCGAATACATGATTGATATTGCGGGCAGTTTCCTCGGCTCTACGTCCTAATTTAAATTCATATAAAAATATGGCACGAATTTGCTTCTTGTCCATTGTTACGTTTTTAAGTTATACTCAGAATAAATGACGGTGAAAAACAAAAGTGTATCGCTTATATGATAGAGCGATATCTACGCGTTCAAATGGTATATTACTTAATAAACATAAATTTAAAATATATAGTATAGAAAGGCCCTAAATATGACATAACAGAAAACCGCAATTTATTTCCGGACAACCTAATACATATTTCTTTTGTTGATTGTTTCATCAATTTATGACATGTTTCGAAATGTTCGTCAGAATGTGAAAAATATAAAGATATTTGATCGTTACTATTTGTACCAGTTTAAATTAGAACTTCAGTTTTTTGAACAATACTGTAAATTCTGTAGTTTTTACGGTTCCCTTGGAGTCTTTTAAATGACCTAGAGATATATGGGGGCATTTATTTTTTTAAAGGGAATAGTACACAAATTTAGTAGATTTTATTTAATGCAGGTAACGTTTGATTAAAACGTTTCATCGTATTTTTCATAATTAACACCAAAAACAGTTTCCAATAAAGCAAATTGGAAACCATGAATATTAATAAAAACATTATTTTATTCGTGAGAAAATAGATGCCAAAAATATTGTCAATACACTTCCAAATATTTGTTTATTCTTATTTTAATATTCCCTCGAATATTGATTAAACTTTGTGATGTCACGGAAGCATAAATTTCGCAATTTCTTTTCTTCTTATTGTTGTAGTTGTAATGAGAAATTTATTTTTAATGAAAATAAAAATAGCTATAAATCTAATGGTTTCAAGTTGTGGGACTGTGGTGGCTGTCTATTTATTTGCTTCGGAATTTGTTATTTAAAATTGGACGCATGCGACTTTTTGCGAAGTGTAGCGGAGGTAAACTCAGTAAGTAAAACCTCAATTAATGTATTTACATCAACATCTGTTATTTGATAAATGAAATGACTTTTCTGAAGGTTTCTGGTATAACAGTAATTTCGCAAAATATGGACAAGTGTTTTAGGTGTACGTTGTTTATCTTTTGGCTCAACTTTCTCGTCCCAGGAAAATTGGCAACGAAACTGTGTGTCATTTAAGACGTTCTAACAAATCATAAAAACCGCGAAAGTAATTTCCCCTCTGTGTTTAATACTTTTGGAAAAAGTAGATTGTAACACTTTGTGATACATCTACATATTAATCTCGAACACTGTTTAACGAGGTAAACTTTATCATGTACAAAGTGTTTCCTTTTGAAGTTGTCCTTCTGTGTAAAAAATGTCATATGTATGTACATGCTGTTCTCAACACTGACTGACGTAGTTACAGTAGTTTAAAATTTGACGAAACAGAAGAGTGTGAAATATTATTTCTAAAAGTTCTCCCATGATTTAAATGCAGATATTGCTCCGGTAGTTTCTCTACTCAAGCAAATCCTAAACACGATATACAGTAAGTTCTCCACAAGTGTCAGTCCGTAAGGAACCTAAACCTGACACTTGTAGAGTCAGGGACTACGTTTTCGAGCCTCGCTCCCGCCTTTGTAGTTTGCCGAACGTAGACAAGGACAGCGAATAAAGATAAGGATGAAACGTGAGTCGAGGCAACCAAGCGATTTAAATACCAACTTTTTTAATTTTACGTTTTTTTATCCCGAAATTTTTCTTAACATATTGATGAGATTTTTCTGATGAAAATGACATCAAACACGACATAATTCGAACAACATTTACTTATTAACACGTTCATTGTCACTTCATTGCCAGATATTTCAAAACATGTTAAGAAAAATTTCAGATGAAAAAAAGGAAAATTAAAGAAATTAGATTTTTCTATTATGAATTGTCGTGCCGTGAAATCACGTAAAAGATACCGAGTGGTGTAGCGTTACAGAAAAATTTCAGATGAAAAAAAGGAAAATTAAAGAAATTAGATTTTTCTATTATGAATTGTCGAGCCGTGAAATCACGTAAAAGATACCGAGTGGTGTAGCGTTACACGCTTGACTGACAGCGAGCGAGATAACGTAGGCGCAGCAATGACGCAGCCTAGGCGTAGGACCATCTATACTGACACTTGTAGAATCCAAACTGACTGACACTTGTAGAGAATTTACTGTATTAGACTGTGTATGCCAATTTTAGTACATACATTTTTCATTCTTCTATACAATTGAGTTCACATTCTTATTTTAATACTGAGTATTATCTGTTTTAAATATCTTCACAAGTAATAATCCAAAAGTCTAGAGATCTTAGTGACCGTGGTACAGGACGTTTATTTGTTAGGATAATGAAGATTTTGGTTATATTAATACTTACAGCGAGGGAAAGAAGTATTCTTACACCCGTCAAAACGGAATAACTTTTTTAATATTGGACAAAACTATTTGAGTTTATTTGAGAAGTTACAAGGATTAGTTTACCAGATGACGTGTACATCGCGATTTCAACCAATTGTAATTTTATCAAAATCTTTGGAAAACGTCATTTGGTGAACTAATCCTTTTAACTTCTAAATCAAAGCTCAAGTTGTTTGGTTCAATTTAAAAAAAAGTTATTCTGTTTTGAAGGTTGTACGAATAAATTATCTGTTGTTCTTTCCCTCACTGTGTGTTCTATGGTGAGAAGGTAAAAATGGTACCACGTTTGTTGTCAATTTATTTCATTTGACTTTCAATTCTAAACAACCGGTGACTTAAATTCTTTTATTTTATTTCGATGTCATAAAAGTTACTTTGAACCAAACGTGTGATTTTGCTACGGTAACAATAACATTAACTGTTCTCGTAATCTTGTTACGACACTTTTCACTCAGAATAACCTTTCAAACAATGTGTTGAACTTTTCTACATTCTTCCTGAAATATACTGTATATTTTTAGCATATAGACTCTGCAAATTAATTCAGTTGTTTCTACACAGATTTCCAATTTGCAGTCGTTCAATAAATTTAAACTCAATGTAGTCTTGATCCTTCAAATTGAAAAAATGTCCATATGAACAACTTTTACGATAATTTTGACAAAAATTTGATATTTGCATAAAGTGTTCCATAATCAGAGCCTATGATTATTAGCAGTAAGTATCAAATGAAACATAAATATAATGGTATGGATTAATTCGATATAGTTTGCACGCTACAAGTTAAATTTAATATTTACACACGTTCAGTTACATTTAAAATAATATTTACTCTCAAAATTTGTATTAATATCTGGTAAATAATTCGTTAAAAACGCATTTAGTTTATTCTGTTGAGCACATCCTCCAATATTCAATAAGTCTTCAATGTAGTTGAAAATGTATGGTTACATTATAAAGCTTTTACAAATTGTCTTAGAAAAAACTTACATCTAAGTACATATTCATAAACTAGAAATTATTTTATAACATTTATATTTTCATTCTCTCAAAAAATAACCACAATTACAAAATATTCATTACAATAGTAATAAACTAAAATCTACCCAAAGTATAACTTTCGATAGTCTTTTTTCCTAAGTTTTTCATAATTTCGCTACATATTTTAAGAGTTTCAAATACTTCGGACACGAAAAAATTGTGAAATAATTATTCAAAATCTGCATTGTATATTCTTAAAACAAATAAAGCACAGAAACATTGAACAAACAGGCATAATAGAATGAAGTAAGTAAGCTGTAGGACAGAGTTTATGTTTTAAGGGCTGGTCAATCATCGATACATTTTATTTCTGTTTAATAGAGAAATTAGGTGTAGATAACAGTGTTTCATAACGTGGGGCGTACGCCCCACGAGGGGGGCAATTAGAAAATGATGTTGCATTCGTCAGCTCATCACCGATATAGTGAGCTTTTTATTTATTGTGGAGATTTGAGATTGAAATTGACTAAATTAGTAGCTCAAATAATAACTCTTCGCAGCATACATCAAGCTGAAGGATCACGTTAACTTGGATTTTATTTTCCCGAGTTGTGTTCGATTTATGTTTTATAATATACGAAGTGTAATATATAATTTATATTCATCGAGCAAAGTCAAATTAAAAACAGTTTTACCTGTGTTCCTTTTTCATTTGAATTACCTAAGTACATATAAAAATTTCTTTACTATTATGCTAGAGGAGGCATTAAAATTGTTGAGACGTTGATGTGGGGCATGATTAAAAAAAGATTGAGAAACGCCGGTATAAAATAACTGTTCAAAAATTGCGTAGCCTCAACTCCTCGTAATTTGTCGGATTAAAAATTTGTTAAAATATGAAATAATTTTGAATATATAAAGTGCAAAATTGTTGCGTTGTATACAGCTTGATAATTTTATACACGATCTAAATTATTCTGGAAAGTATTACGTATTCGAAATATTTATCAGCAAGTATTATTCAAGATATCTGAAATATTTTAAATTTACTACTATTTAAGAAATGTTAAATGTTACCCAATATTAGAAGGATACAACGTTCAAGATGTATTTTAGGCACTTAATCGCTTCCGTTCTTATTTGTTGCAAATAGGCCTTGGACGAGCTAGCACGTGCCAAAGAAATGGAATGGAACGAAATCTTAAGCATGAGAAAGCTGAAGGAGGAAGCGTACCTGAGAATTGAAAGAAAACGGCAAGTTATGGGATTCATGGAGGGTAATGGACAATTAGCGGATATGTTGCCACCGGCGAGCTTAACATTGGGCAATGATTGGGAAAGCAGCGGTAACACCACTCCCATATCTAAAGAAAAGTTGAGCTTCGGCTCCAAAGAGGATTTGCCCGAAGAAAGCTCTCAGGACTCACCGGCTTTCAAAAAGGAAAAGCCCACGAAGCAAACGTCACAGCGCCAGTCGACGCCACCCAAACAAGGTGGAGAAAATGGCCGGAAACAGGTGGAGGTGCTTAGTCCGGAGAACAGACAAATCGGCGAAGGTCGCCAAGGCGCTATTGTCGACGTTAGATCTATCATTGCTGATTACAGGCTAAGGCACCCTGAAACGGTACCGCGCAGGTAAGCATGGATAGTAAGTTGCTTAGTAAACGCGTGTTAACCATTTTAGAGAAGTTTCACCATTTCAAGGTCAGGTTGTTGAATTTTGGTTAACTGTGCTTCGAATTATTCTCATCTTCAGTCATTTATTCATTTTTGTTGTTCTTGTTGTTTAAATTCTTTGGTTCCAGTACCATTTCAGTTCTTATGTAAATTTATTGTTATTTCATACGTAAAAAAAAGTTTGAGAATTGTTATGTTACTCTTATATTACTAGAAATCACAAGTATGAACGGAAGAAGTATGTTGTAAAATAGTACACGTTTTTTCTACGCATTTTGAAACTTTTCTAAAATGGATAAAAAAAAGAATTCTTGAAACATATTTTACAGTAGATTTATAGTACATTAAATTGAAGAAATCGTTGAAAAATATAGTTTACTGGTGAAAGGGATTGGAAACAGTTGTATTTTACGTAGAAAGTTAGACTTGAAAGGTGAACATTTTCCGCAGCAACAAAAACGGAAGATTTCGTATCATATTTAAATACTAATTGTGTGATATTAAAAAATGTGCATACGTTTAATTAATATAGGGGTCGCAGAATGAGAAATTCGGTGAATGTCGGCCTTGGAGCTGGTGGAGCTATGGTCGAAACAGGACATAGTGTTGATTCAAGGCCATCTAGTACAGACTCTTGTAAAAGCAACTCGAACACAGTAGATCCCAATAATTCCATGAGCTTTAAGGACGTGCTTGTGCAGTTTGCCAAATTAAGTCAACAACAAGGTATACAAAATTAATTAATTACAAGATTGTAAATTCCAAATTTAGAAAAATTAATCATTTTTAGAGAAACTAGAAGATGGTGCTTTCATAAATTGAATTTTTCCATGTTCTAAAAATATGTTTACATTTCACTCTCGATACTTCATTTGAAACTTAACAAAATTGTTAGATAAAATGTACAAATATTCTATACTATCTCTAATCTGTCTTCACTTAGGCCAGAAACATCATTTTTCTGTTTCCCAATTTACTTTACGTAGGTACAGAATATTAGAAAGATTCTTCCGCAGTATGCTTATCTAATCACGAGTCTTCGGTACTTACACGTAGCTCTTCGAACTACGAGTTTTTAAATCACCATTCAGATTTCAAATATTATAGCACTGGAAATAGCGTGGCTCGTATTTTTCAGTCACTGTGTCAACATTTGAATGGAACTACCTCTTTTAAGAAAATAATAAATACGCAAAAATGATGGAATGAAATTTTTCGGAGAGAATCCATGTAACAGCAAATGCAGATAGAAATAATAGATGTAATACATTAATGGAAACGAAGTTGTCAGAAAGTAGTAGAATGCAGAGAAACCATAGGAAACCACTGATTATGAAAAGATTAGTAAAAGAAAACGGATATTTCTGTTATGCTAGATCGCAAAACTATAAATTGTTATTATACAGGGTGTTCCGTTATTGATGGTACAACCGTGAAGGAAGTTATTGTACATGAAAAGGTAAACCTAAAATATAGAATAAAATTTTTTCATAAAATGCTTTGTATTCGAGAAAGTTCAATGTAAAGATTTACTAATTGATTCTGCGTCCGCTTATACTTTTATGTTAATAAACAGCGGTAATGTCACATTTCGCAAGAAAATAGTCTCTACAGAAGGTAATGGTAATCTTCTGTAGGTAATAGAAAGAATCGTACAGGTTTTGAAACAATTAAAGCGCTAAAATATCGTATCATCAGTCTACGATCTCTGATTCAAAGAGCAAGGATTTGTATGCTATAACAAGGTCGTCATTTTCAACAATTCGTTCAGTAATATGCATTTAAATTAAGGAAACCGTTAATAAAAGAAACATAAGACCGAGAGATAGTTAAATTCACACACACTCGACGAATATTTAAAATCAATTTTCTCAAAAATTAAGCTTCTCGTGAAAGATTTTTATTGTATATTTTCGGTTTATTTTTTCATGTAGAATCACCCCTTTCGCGATTGTTCCACCAGTTATGGAATAGCCTGTATAAAGAGATCGAAAAAAAAAAAAAAAAAAAAAAGAATAATATAGATAATTTAAAAACACTATTGCAGAAAGACAAACTTATCTAATGTATTGTAAGCTGCAAGTTAATTTTGATTTTGGTTTGATTGAATTTTTTGATTGTACAAATGTTATAGGGGAACCTGTAAAAACGCCACAAAATTATCCAGATGTAACGCTTCACCCCGTTGCACCATCTCCAGCACCTCAAAATACCCCACCTCAACAGAGTGGTTCGTTGCTTCATGGAATTCTCACGAAATCTCAATCTCCAAGACCGACTACTTTTTCACCTACTTTAGCTAGATTACTCACCGCACCTGAAAGAGAAAGGAATGCACCAACCACCGCATCCATGCCACAGCAAAGTGCGGCAACCCAGCACCTTTTGCAGACATATCAAGGCTCTAATCCTGTTTCTATCAGTGACCTCCTATCTTCTTCCAAGGTATTCTATGCTTTTTTGAAGTAAACGTTACTTTATATATTCTACTGTATGTTGTATTACTTACTCATATTATTTACTGTTATATTTGTATTTGATATCTTTAGGCTCGAACTGAAATAACAATAACACCAGTCATCAACACTCCAGTTCAGTCTCACGTAGTAAGTGATATATTGTAATATGTAATGATGCATTTATCAAAATAATAAGACTCGTATTTATATTTCTATGATCTTCATTATAGGACGATGTTGAAGAAGAATCAGCAGTAATGGAAGACAGAGAAACTCGTATTTCTTCTGGCGTCAGGGATAGCAGAGAGGATAGGGACAGCCCTCCGCGATGCCAAGGATGCCATGAACGTGTAGCACAATTTGTATGTGCTGGCTGTGGTCATCAATGGTATTGCAGCCGCGAATGCCAAGTAAGACTGACAATTTTAATAAATATCATACGTGAAGTGTAATGATTCACTTATATTGTTTTAATTGTTAATAAAATTATTATCAATATTTTAGGTTGCAGCGTGGGACGAACACTCAGAAGTGTGTTCGGGTTAAGGAACGAGCACGTATTAATCTAAACCTCGTACTCGCGGTATCGGATTGAATACCTTATTCAACTGAGAATGAATCTAGTCAAAAAAGAATGGCCAAGAATATAACGCGTATTGAGTACGATAAGAGGGAAGAAGAAATATTAAGAGAGCAGTGTATATTTTTAAGGATCTTGAAGTATGTTTAATCTGTAAAAAATAAGTCTTATTTCGTAAAAAAAGAGAGAATAGCCAAGTTAATGGCGTTTCTTGTGAGAGATAAGTATTTATGGAAAAAGTAAAAACACAAGACTTTGACACGGCACTTCGACAAGGAAAGATTAGAATTCGAGTTGAAACGATCGTTGCTTCACTGTAATCATCATGTTGCTTTTATTCGTTATCAGTACCGAACGATCGTGAATCTTCATTGAAACAAATAGAGAGTATTAACCCTGCTGAAAATAAGCATTTAACGTGTATCTTCCAAAGGACAAATTGTTTGTGGGATTCCTAATATAATAGGAATTCGCGTTGAGTATAAATATTCGTAATAACTTCGTGTATCAGATACTTTTTTAGATTTTAACCAATGCATGACGTACAATGTACGCTAGTCGAGAATTTTCAACTTTTTCCAAATGAAAAAAGGAAAATAAACCAAGAATAACTGGTATGTGCGCTTGTAATAAGGGACAAAGCACAAAACTATATCTCGCGATGCTGTACATAATTTTATACGTGTTAGCAGGGTTGTTCAGCGTCAAATTAAGAAAATTAGTTAACCGTGTGCCATGCGTAAGATTCGTTTCATGGTCAGCTTTATATGTAAAACAAATCTAAGTTGTAGATTATTCGAGTGTTTTTATAATCTTGTTATTTTTGTTTCGTTTCTCTACCTTCCTTTTGTTTTTCTTTTCTTTTCGTTCTTCGTAACTGTTTTATTCGTTACATTAAAATGACATCGCATTTGATGACCAAAATGCGAAGTACACACGGATATTCAGCCTTCGTATATGTTTTGTCGTTCATTTAAGAGAGGCACGTACAATGCGTACCGAATATCATATTTTATACCATGTTTGTTACCAACGTATAAATTTAGATTTAATGAAACATTAGCCTTAGTGTAGATTTAAGCTACTTTTTTCCATTCTTTCGCAACTTGTTCGTTGGTAACGTATACATATTTTGATTTCACTTCTTTTTTTTTAAATTAGCATGTTACCCAAACGACAGTTGTCCCGGACATAATCTGTAGTCCAAAGTTCCTACAGGTACACGCAACATTATATATATTTTTCCCAATTATGAAGCAAACCAAAATAAAGTTTTTAATCGTATATCAATGAATTTTTTACTGTTTCTATAACCAACTCGCATGTTAAATATTTTTTAATTTTCTCACTTATTTTCAACGAATAAAGTAAAATTGGTTTGAATCTTCTCTAAAACATTTAGAACTTTTCTTCCTTTTTAAAAATTTTGTTACTAGTATTAAAATTTGTTTTCTATATCTTTATATGTATATTAATTTGATGGTATATAGTTATTTTTGTAGAATATTTTATCTAACTTATTT